AAATACCAAACGTTAATCCAACAATGAGATCTCCAGCTAGTACGGCCAAAAACCACCTCCACCTGGCTTTTTTACGAGAATATGACTGTATTCCGGCCTCGATGTCTGCAGTTTACACATTCAAATGTTAAGATGCTGGTCACAAAAAAGTTAAGAGTTTTTCTATAATTTCTTTTTGGGGGGGTCTTTTTACACAATAATAAAACTTAAGAGCTTAATGATTTAAGTATTGGGGTGAACAAAGAAAAGTGTGGGGTTTAAATAGAAAAACTCAAAAATTAAACCATTTCAATTGAGATGGAAAGACAAAAAAAGGGAAGAACATGAACTAAGTCACTGTCGTGTGCATTAAGCTTCCGCGTCTTGGAAGGTTCAGAAACATTTATAACTTAGAACATCAAGATACTTAAAATCAGATCGTTCGCCAAAAGAAAACAAAAGATACTAAAAGCAGGTAGAAACAAACAGCAAAGAGGATCCTTAAATTGGCCCTTCTTTATATCAAAAATCATATAACCTTGTTGGTATGTAAGTGAAGGTTCAGAAGATCAAAAAGTTGTTTCATTTTCACCTGGTGCATTTGCTGGTTGTTTTTACCCTTTACTTTTTCAAGGGTTTCTCATACCAAATTTTGTTCTGGTCTCTAATTAATACAAGCTGGTAATCCAATAAGCAACAACTTCAATAAATTTCTATAGTAGCTTAATCATCAAGCATTGGGACAAAAATAAGGAATATTACCTTCCATCCAATGATCCAATCAGGTTCTCAAAATATTTTTCGTTTGTTAATGAAGTTTAGCAGTGAATTTAAAGTGCCAGAAAAGGTCCTTAGTGTAAACAATCTTCGAATTAGCAAGAAAAAACTATCCGCTCATAAAGGAATCAGCTAAATTTACCTATTAACAACACAACAAAGGATTTGGTGATGTAATTGAATTTCTATTAATTGTTTCATTCCAAAATGTGGCGTTCTTATTTCAGCAGACAAAACCAGCCAAAAAGAACTCAGCAGACAGGAGCTAGGGATCAGGTGGTTATTAATTCAGAGAGAGGAACTTTGATTTTTCAGCGACACTAAACTAGATATAAATAGAAAAGCATCGCCAAGAAAATATTCAGAAACAAATATACCAGCCTAAATTTCTCTCTACCCTATTTCTGATTTTCTTTTCAAGTTATCAATCAATCTGTCACTCATATTGGCAACCAACTATATACTTTATGGCCACACTCATTTTTCATCCCAACCTAAAGTGCTTTTGTTTGTTTGTTTTTTTTTTTCTGACTACAAGGATCTCCCAAGATCAACAATTTTATTAAAATTCATATAAACTTCAAGGGTTTGGTTGACTTATCTCCAAAATAGATTTTACACAATGCAATGTAAACTCTGAAAATGTCAAAGGGGCATTTTCATACAAGAATAAAGCATTGAAGACTATCTGGGTCTCTCTCCGCAGCTTTACCCTTTATTCTTCAACAACACAGCAAGCTTCTTCATACACACACCCCTTGTGAATCAGACTGTCATTTCTTGGGTACTACGTAGACACACCAAAGAGTTTGGAAATCACAAATCACGGAAAGGTTAATTTGGTGAATTTTTAATTTTTGCATGGATGGTGTGGAATGAGTTTTGCTGTAAAGAAGATGAGGAAAAGAGCTTGAAAAAGGTTGGGCAACCAGTGGTAGGGCCAGTATTGGAGGCTTCTCTGTCTCCTTCTCATTTGGGCTTTCATTTTTCATGATTATCTATGCAATAGGTTTTGTTTGTTTTTGGAGGTTTTGGCCTCAAATGCATCCTGTTTTGGTTATAAATTAATGCAGCCGAATTGGCATAACATTTCCTTGGAGCTAAAATACATTTTGTAAGATTTCTGCTACAGTGTGAAATTTATAGGGATTAAAATGTGATGTATTCAGAATTTGTTCCTAGGAATGGTGGATTTTCATTGTTTCTATGCTGGGTTTTTGTTTACGTTTTCATAAACGCAATGTCTGTGATCGCATCAGATTTTGGCTTAGTTGTACTGGGTATAGGTTTCCTTGAGATGGCCAGGGAATTTTGTTCTTTATATGCACTTGCATTTAACTTCTTAGCTTCCTAGAAATGCATACGCCTAGATTCCTTCCTTACTTATATCAAACCTCCATTTCAGCTACACTCCATGTGATGGGGCTTGCTACGCTAGCCTAGCTAGAAAAGGCTCCATTTCTTAACTAACTTCTAGAGCAGACCACAATTGCAATCCCCTTAAAGAAGAGTTCCGAGGTCGAAAGATCAAATTGGGGGTGTAAGGACTGTGGAAATTACCATATGAAGGGCCATTTAGGTTAAAGAAACAAACTTTGAATACTACAAACCTTAATATGAACTAAAGTTTCTGATTTAAGCTTTTCTTATGTTCATCCATAACTCTGAGTCAGAATACTCGTCTAAAAAACCTCCAAAAGTTTCATTTAATTTCATCACATACCCCAAAAGTTTTTTTATGGCAAGTTCAATAAAAAAAGTTATCAAATTGCAAGAATCTGCATATTTCAATCGTTGTGTAAGATTCACATATCGCCTGAGGTGATTAGCAATATGAACAGAATCAATTTCAAGAATCGAAATTACTTTATCAACCATACAGCAGAATATAACGAGAATAGGTAAACCTAAAAGCATGGATTATAAGAAGAGAAAGAGAACTTACGAGATCTTTGAAAACGAGGAAAGCGATCACGAAGAAAAGAACAAACAGGATTTCAAACTCGGCGAATTTGACGAACCCAAAGACCGACCTAACCCACCGAGTCAATGCGGACTCGTTCGAGTTCCTGCTCCCGACTCGCTTCCCCATCTCTCTTGCTCCTCCTCTGTCTCTTCTGCCTTCGTTTACCTTGGTAGTTGGTAGTAAAGGGGTTCGGGTCCGACAGCTCGAAGATGGCATTGATTTTCTCGGGTTTCGTTTTATTTTAGATAAATAAAAATTAAAAAATAAAACAGAAAAGTCAGATTCTGAACAAAAAGATAAAAAATAATGGTCAATTTGTAATTTTAGCTAAATTGTGAAATGGTAAATGAGATTTCTTGATCTACACACATTGATAAAATGTCAATTTTACTACTCAAACTATTGTCAGTTTAGGTCATTTCTAAACGGACCGTGATTTTGGTTTCATAATTTGTTTCCTTTCCTCTTATAATCTCTTTTGATCCTTGCAGAATTCTATTAAGAACTTGATAGCATGAAGTTTGTATGAAAATTAGGTTGTTGTTTATTGAAAAAATGTGATTTATTGAGTGGACGTGATTGGTAACGATAACACCTTTTATTTCACCGAATAAAAATATTTTTACTCACCACTCTTTATGAAGAGTGTTTTTGACACTATATATGTAATATGCAATCTTATGAAGTGAAAATTTTGAATTTTTATACAAGAGTGCATTGAAGCCTTTCGGGATTACAGATAATGTTGCTCTAATTTTATTATTCTTTGCATTAAAAATTTGATTACCATTAATTTATCTATATATATAAAGCAAAAGGCAGAGAATGGTGAAACATTTAAAACACCAAAAAATGCCCTTGGGTAATGCAAACATTAAGAATTGAAATTATTAATTAAATGAGGATAATCTCGTAAATTCACACTTTTTCATATTTAAAAAAATTAAAATTAAAAGAAAAATCAGATAATGGATCCTATTTTTATGGAACACAACTACCCATTATCTTTTTTAATTCTAAAATAAATTTAAACTTTTTTTAAAAAAACCTCTCGCAGGCACGGAAGTGCATGCATAGAGGCTAGTGATAATAATAATATTATTGTTTTCATTTTGGAAAAAATATACAATACTATTCAATTTAGTAATATTTAAATTAAATTTACCAAATTTTTTTAGTAATCTTAAATGTATTTTACTTGGTCTAGATCTTGGTGTAGATAATAGATTAGTCATTTTTCTTCTCCTGATATAAAAATATAATAGGACAAAATAATGATGTAAATATTTAGACTTTGAATGGCAAACAAATAGGGATTTGTGTGACTCGTATTCTCGTGCTCGACAAAATACACGAAATCCCCAAATCGAAACACGGAAGACGGAAAGACAGAGAGAGAGAGAGAAAGAGAGGAAGAAAGAAAGAGAGGCTCAAGTTTCTCCTTGTTCCTACACTGTAATCCATGGCGTCAACGAGTCAACGACCCCTCCTCATCGCCCTCCTAACCCTCTCGATCTTCGCAATCTCAGCCACCGCAACAAGGCCCTGCAAGACCCTCTTCATTTCCTCCTACTCCTTCTCCCTCCGCCGCCTCCCCTCCTCCTCTTCCTCCTACGGCTTCGTCACTTTTCTTTTCCTTTTGGATCATCACGTTCTCGTAGTTTCTAACCAACTTTCCATTCCACTAAACACTCCATATGATCTACTTTTATACTGATTACTCGTATTATTAAAACACATATTTGGAGATTTCAATATTTAGCAACAATACAACAAGAGCAACCAAGATCTGAACTTGTTCGTGACTTGACTTGTGAAGCTCAACTGTCTTGGACTTGCCGATGGTTTGGATGCCAAGATTGCAAAGGGAAAATGTGGGTGAGATTGGAGTGATGACAAACCACAACCATAGAATTGAATCCAACTCAGAGAACCAAGGCCTAGATTTAGATTCCAGCCATGGACAATCAAGAGCAAGCCTTGAACGAGAAAAAAAAATGCAGGGAGAGCGAGAGAGAGGAGAGATGAGCAAGCAATTTGACAAAGAGTTTTAGATCTAAGATATGGAAGACCTAGACATGAGATGAATCTTGGCGGGAGGAGCTAATTGCCCCTCCTCTCCTCTCTTCCATCTTTCTTTTTTTCTCAACTCCTCTCTGTCCTCTCTCTCTTGATTTCAGGTGGGTTTTGCTAGGGTTCTCACCCCTCCCCTCTTCTACTCTCTTCCTCCATAGCCTATGCATTTTTGGTTTTCCTCTCTTCTTCCATAGCCCTTGCAATTTTGGATTCCCCTTTTGCTATCTCCTTTTTGTGAGAGTTTTGCTCTCCTTTTGTGAGAGTTTGCTCTTTCCTTGTGAGTTCTTCGTTTATCAGGATATGTTTCATCCACGGCTCTCTCCCCTTTGGCATGCCGTTGTGTATCAGTGTTGCTTTTCTATCACCATCCTCTGCTCCTCAGGTCCACAGGTGCCACTGTTGTAGATCTTTCTTGATGGCGTGTTGTGGTCTGGGGATGCTTTTAAAGTGCAATATGCACTAATTGCTTGGATTATGGGAGAGCTTTTTTGCACGGGTGGCTTTTTCACCCCATTCTCAGTTCAAAGCTTTGGTTCATCCTGTTACTGGTTACTGATCCTTGGTGGTGATGGTGGATTTGCGATGGTGGTGCCGATGGTGTATTGGTGGGGAGCTGTGGTTTATTCCTATATCTAGGGCTTTTCTTTTATGTGGTTGTGAGCTTAATTTTTTTTTTTTGGAGAGGTTGTGGGCTTTATCTTTGTATTTAGGCCTTAACACGAGCCAATTTGTTTGGATTTTTAGCTTTTGTAGCATGATTACTGCAGTACATGGACAATATTGATATTTTATTTATGCTATATCATGATTATTTGGCTTTTGACATTTCTTTTAGCACCTTTTCTATTAAGAGGGGTGATAATATACCAAGCTTATACACACTACACAGATGCTAGGACTCAAACCTGTGACCTTGCTTGGGGAGCAATTGCACCAAACCACTACACTAGTGGGTCATTTGCAGCTTTTAATATTGATACAATGATATTTTTTTCCCTACTGTTATAATTATACCATGTGATCATACTCCAATACCATAAAATCGTTACACTTTTCATTATACCATGTGATCATACTCCAATACCATAAAATCGTTACACTTTTCATTATACCATGTGATCATACTCCAATACCATAAAATCGTTACACTTTTCATTATACCATGTGATCATACTCCAATACCATAAAATCGTTACACTTTTCATTATACCATGTGATCATACTCCAATACCATAAAATCGTTACACTTTTCATTATACCATGTGATCATACTCCAATACCATAAAATCGTTACACTTTTCATTATACCATGTGATCATACTCCAATACCATAAAATCGTTACACTTTTCATTATACCATGTGATCATACTCCAATACCATAAAATCGTTACACTTTTCATTATACCATGTGATCATACTCCAATACCATAAAATCGTTACACTTTTCATTATACCATGTGATCATACTCCAATACCATAAAATCGTTACACTTTTCATTATACCATGTGATCATACTCCAATACCATAAAATCGTTACACTTTTCAATAATGAAAAGGTTACTTAAAAAATTCGAATATGGATATGAGAAATATAGCATATAACTAATACTTTTTTATTTTTAAAAGAAGACTGTTTGTTAAGATTGTTAAGCTTGTTCTCTTTTGGTCCTTATAGAGGCAATTTAATCTTTCAACCGTTATGGAATTGTTAAGATTGTTCTTTTTGATCCTTATAGAGGCAATTCAATCTATCAATTCAAACTAATGACAACGTTACGTTTTGCTTTTGGATTCAACTAAAGACATTTCACTTAAACAATGAAGTCGTATGGATTAAACTTAAAGCAAAAATTGCTTAAAGGTTAATTTCCAATAAAATAAAATGATATTGCCTATTAGCTCTTAAGTGGCATTAAGATTTGATGTAATAAAAGTGGAACCTAAGTTTAACTTTGTGTGTAAGAAAAATAATAATAAAAAATAATGTTTGTTACTTTTACTTTTAAGATTCACTAAATAGTGTGACAAATAATGTTAACGGTTTGTATGCCACGATTAAAATTTAAGTATATCTCTTGGCATAAGAGAGATTCACTACGAACATTCTTACTTACGTGCGTACTATATACATAATAACATATTACTTGAGCCTATTTAGTAACATTTTTATTTTTAGAAATAATATATTAATTAGGACTATTTAGTAATATTTTTATTTTTAGTTTTCAGTATTCTTTTTTAGTGAAAAAGAAAGAGGAAATGCAAGGAGAAAAATAATGGTGAGAGACAACGTATGGAATGGTACCTAAATGAAAACCAAACAGCAAAAACCGAAATTTCAAATTGTTTTTTATTTCGCATATTTTCGTTTATTTTTCCCTTACCTTTCTTGTCCTTCCCTCATTCCATGCATGTTTCTTTATCTTTAACTAAAAAGAATAAATAAGAACAAAAAAGGAAAAAATGTTACCAAACAATCCCTAATTTTGATTTACCTTCACGTATTATAATATAGATGGACGACATGATTTATTTTCCCTCTTTTTAGGAAATAATATCAATAAATATCCACTTACACAATGATGAAGCCAATATTTAGTCTATATAGGCATGGTGGGTTGTGGACTTTGCATAAACTAATTTTTTTGCTATTTAGTGGGCATTGAGTAGGTCCGCCAATGCACTTATATTATAACACGTGTATGAAACTAACATGGTGTTTAGCGTGCATAAAACAAAATAACATACACAAACTTAAAAAGAATTTTGTATTTATCTCTTTTGGTGGTCTCTGCGTGCTACGGATACAAAGACTATGGTGTGATGATTGGTGCAGCAAGCAAAGAAATTTGGAACGAAAGCTCAGAATGCGGGCAACCGTATAACGCCAAATGCACGGGAACTCCAAATGATGCAGATTATCCTTGTACTCGCAGAGACGCTAACGTTACAATTGTCGACTACTGCGCTTCACCGGGATGTGGAACCATCAATCTTTCTAAAGAGGCATTTGTGAGCTGTGACCTGTGAGAGAGAGGACTTATTGGATTCACATTGAGAGTGGAGTGAGAGAGGACATACTATCAAATAACTTTTGTGTTGATGTAAATAATGTTTAGTAGATTGTAACATTTAATTAAAATAGTTAATTAAACTGCGTATGTTTAGTAGATTGTAAAGAATACTACGGTAATATGGTTACGTGGTACATTTTGTACACGTGTTATACCACGATATATAATTACTTCAACTGCGTATGCTTTTTACAGCAATGCCACCTTCTACAAATATCCTTATGTTCGTGTGTATCGTATATTAAAAACTTACGAAAAGTTTTTGTTTTATTTTATGTTTTTAGTAAGATACATGAAGATTCTTAATTATGTTCGTTCGTATCGTGTACTATAACCTATATTATATGTCCTTAGTAAAACACAAACTTACTAAAATCTGTTGTATTTGTTTTGTTTCTAGCATCTGCGTGCTATGGATATGAAGAAAACGGTTTCCTGATTGCCGCAGCAAGCAAAGAAATGGGATCTTAGGGCAGCATGCACGGGGCCTATAAGCAATAGAGGAATACAAACTCCTTGCACTAATAAATCCGTTGTTGTTGTAATTGTTGATTATTGTGGTTCAACGGGGTGTGGAACCATCAATCTTTCTAAAGATGCATTTGCGAGAATTGCCAATTTGGATGCTGGAAGAATCCAAATTGACTATACTAGGTAATCGTTGATTATTGTGCTTCAACCCCCCCAAAAAGAAAAAAGAAAAAAAAAGAAACATGATTTGCAAGTATAATCAGTAAGCCTTTGGATTTAATTTGTTGCCAACATAATAATGAATGAAGTATAAACTTGATTTGATAGTGTATGTATATGTTTTCAATCTTACGCGTTTCTACATTGCAAGGGTTTTGCGGGTAAGTTCCAGGATCCAAGGAAATGCAGCATATCAGAACAAAGAAAACAAGGACAAGAAGCATATGTTTTGGAGACACATCAAGAAAAAATATAAATATTGTAGAAACTCCCTACTTTTTTGAGCATATTACTGTTGTTTGTTATTGTTCAACTACGAGTTTGGATAATGTAGGGGTAAATGCTCCTAATCACTTGAGTTATCACTTGCATTGTTCAAACCTGTGTGTGTTTAATGCATAGGCCTTTCTGTTGCATATGTGTCAGAAGAGTGATTTTTGAGTTGCTAAAACTTGAGTTACTAAATTACTTTGTAATCATCCCTGTCAAACAAATGAGACTTTAGATGCTTGTCAGTTGAGAGCGACGCCAACAAAATATCGTCCCTGAGCACATGTGACCTATCTCCAACAACAAACTCAAAAACCTCACCATTGACTCCAAGTAGGTTATATATATTTTGATGTTCAACTACGAGTTCGTCATACATATGTGTGTTTAATGTCATGAAGAGGCCTTTCTGTTGAATGTGTCAAATCTTAATCGAATGTAAAAAAGTGTTTACCTCTAGAAAGAAGTCGATCCCAGAAGAGTGATACAAACAGTTCATCACCGTTGTGATGCTTTGCCGATGACATTTGAGTTGCTAAAACTTGAGTTACTCAGTTATTTTGTCATCATCCCTGTCAAAGCAACGCGATTTTAGATGCTTGTCAATTACAAGCGACGCCAACATGATTTCGTCCATGAGCACATGCGACCTATCTCCAGCAAAAAACTCAAAAACCTCGCCGTTAACTTCAACTAAGCTACAACCCGGCACCTTTCTCACCTTTTTTCCCTCCATTCCCTTCCTTAGCACTGTGACATCATCCCACTGGTTGGCAGAGGCATAGATGTTTGAAAGAAGAACATGCACACCACTGTGGTCTAAACTTTTCCCGGACAAGCGCTCAACCATTTCTTTACCCAACTCAACATCTCCATGAACTCTACAAGCATTGAGCAATGCACCCAAGACATAAGAGTCTGGTTCCATGGGCATCTCTCTCACAACCTTCTTTGCCTCTTCTAGCATCCCAGCTCTCCCTAGTAAATCTACCAAACAGCCGTAGTGCTGGATGCCTGGCTGTATCCTGAAAGTACCAGTCATACTTCCAAAGATACGCAATCCCTCATCCACCAAGCCCATTCGGCTGCAAGCACTCAACACGCATATAAATGTAACTTCATTAGGTGCAATTCCTTCATCCTGCATTCTCGCAAAGAAAGAAATGGCACCTGCACTATCACCGTTATTGGCAAGCCCCGAAATCAAAGAAGTAAAAGCAAAGACATCCTTACTCGGCATCTCATTAAATACAGCACGAGCAGTTTCAATACAACCACACTTTGTGTACATGTCGACGAGAGCAGTGCCCAACACTCTATCTAATTGCATCCCCTTCCTGTTGATATATGCATGTATCCATCTTCCCTGATCCAGTGCACCAAGAAAAGCACAAGCAGTGAGTGAACCAATAATCCCGGAGTGGTTAGGCAAAAACCCAGACACCTGCATATCGACAAAAAGCTCCAAGGCCTCCCTAAACAACCCAACTTGCACATACCCATTAATCATAGCGCTCCAAGAAACCGCATTCTTTTGAGGCATTTGATCAAACAGCTCCCGTGCAATGACAGCTTGGCCAGACTTGACATACCCATTAATCAATGCAGTCCAGGTAACAACATCTCTATATACGCTCATGTCAAACAATTTACGAGCTGGGTTTATGAAATCACAAGTCACATACAAATGGATCAACCCGTTCTGCACAAAATCGTGAGATTCCCAACCAAGCCTAATGGCATGGCAATGGAGCACCAAACCAAAAGAGAGATAAGAGAGGTCAGCGCAAGCTCTAAGAAGAAAGGAGAAAGTGTAGTTGTTGGGCAAGAAGCCACTCTGAATCATATCACTGTATAGAGATACGGCTCTTATGGACTCATTGTTCTCAGCTGAAGCTCTGATCACGACGTTCCAAATGTAGGTGGTTCGGTAAGGCATATGACGAAAGAGTTGAAACGCATGTCGTAAATCACCGGAGTTGGATACAGTACAGAAGGCAATGATCTTGGCAGCTGCATAAGGATCGAAAAGGGTGCCTGAAACTGTGAGGTGGCTTTGAATTTGCTTGATATGGGCCATGGTGAGACATTGATCCAAGATTGATAGAGCTCTCTTACTTGATTTCATATATTATTTTAGAGTTTGGATTTTGGAGCCAATCTGATAACTTGATTGAGTTTGTTTTGAAAAATGACCCAAACCCCATAATATATTTACTTAAGGGAAGTGGAATGATACAACAAAACAAATGCCATGACAAAAATTCAGAACATAACCCAATAAGCTTCACCATTCTTCTCATAATATTCTCATTATAAAACTGAGCTTGCAATGCTTTTGCAGAACATGGTGTTTACAAGTAATCCCTCTAAAGCTTGTGAAATCTGATATGAATATAGATGGAGAGCCTTTCCTTCCAAAATCGGGCCATGATTTTCTGTAATTTTTTTTTTTTTTTTTCCAATATGAGATATTGGAGTACAAGGTGATTCGTTCTCTTATACAAACGAAATTCAAACACAGGACCTTAGGTGCAGGGGTACTAATTCATTCATTCTAACCAGCAAGTGTTTTGCATAGCGGCATAGTGCTTTCTCTTTTCCTAATATTAGCAGATGTCACAAGTTCAAATATCTTTTGTTCCGTTCTAAAGTGCGGTTGTGTGATTTTGAACCCCATACCAACAACCTATGCTTAGTATGACTACAACAACAATGGCCATTTTATTTGACAGTTTATTGATGCAGCAGTGTCACACCATATTAACTACAGGTAAACAGAAGTTGGCAGTCTAGGTTTAGGAATTGCAACAAGACTCTTGTCCTTTTGAATTGTAAGCCCCAGTCTCTCTTCCATATTGTTCAGGATCTCAAGAGGGCATTCCCACTCAAAAGCACGGAGCAAAGCTGCCAAGTAAAAGTGCACCATGCGATGATGAAGGGGCTGTAGGGTGGAGTCGGATAACTTCTTTCACTGCTGCTTGAAAGTAAGGTAACTTGGGAATGTCATTCTCTTCAACAAACCTGTCCTTACCGACCACTTGGTCCAACTTTATAACTATTTTCTTGTATGCATCAGGTGTTCTTAGGATCTCTGTCATTCCCCACTCGATAGTACTTGAGCTTGTCTCTGTGCCTGCAAGAAACATGTCCTGTAAAACCAAAATAAAAAAAGATCGATTTCGGATAGATTAGTCAAGCAAGCAATAGCTACAATACTGAAATAGGTCAGCAACGTATATAGATCTTAGACTATTGACTTACAGAAAGCAACCCTTTGATGATATTTCCGGAGAGGCTTCTCAGTTCGTCATCTCTGTCACTGCGATATTCCAATAACACATCTAACATGTCCATTTTTTCCTTCTGGTTACTTTTGTTGATTCTGTTTTCCCTCTCTTCCAACTTCTCGTTGACTAGTTTCTCATAAAAAGCATCAAATCTCCAAAAGAACTTCAATGTTCTCCGTTTCAATCCCTGAGGATCAAATGGCTTGAATGTTGGGATGAGATCAGGAACGTTTGCCGTGCCAAGAATTTTTATTAATTCCCATAATGTCTGTTTTAGTTGCCTCCCTTCCTTTTGTGTGCAATCAAAAAGGCTCTTACTGCATACAACGGTACTCATGAGGTTTTTTTTTTTTGGGACTGAATATGAACTTCATTAAAACAAAACGCCATAACAGCGCCAACAAAACACAGCAAACAAGACCGAGGCTAAACTAAGCTCCATACAGAGAGCCGAGACAATTAGCCAAAGTCACAAAAGAGCAAAAACTAAAGCAACAATTCTTTATGAAAACCTCCCTGGAGGACAAGGGAGGCCATCAGACAGTAGCACTCCCACAAGAGCCGGAGGTTGCCTGACAGCCCAACTTTCCAGTTGCTCTGGCTAAGGCGATGAGCGCCCACTCTGCAATGTTCACTGGATTCTGTAACACTGAAGTTGAATAGAGGTTCTTCAGTAACCCATGGACCTAGGTACCAAAAAAATGAAACAATAATGATAATATTCACATTTTTCTTTTTTCTTTTTCCCTTCTTTTGCAATTCAAATGCCCTGTTACCAATGAATTAAAGAAATATAGCAGATGGACCTAGGTTCTTCCCTCGAATAGCAGACTTATTTTAGGTATTGCTCTTTCGAGAGTATATTCTTTCCTTCTATTATTATTATTGATGATATTGGTGATGGCCGTATGAGTGAAGAAGTTGTGTTTGTAACAGATTAAGATGAGGGTGGTGGTGTTTGTTCCTTTTAACATGGTGTATAGTTTTCATGGGTTTCCTTTCCCTTTCTATATTTCTTCTAGGGTTTGAAAGCTTTTGTAATGGGGTGGCTTGATGGAGCGGGGATTTGCAAAGCATAGCACAGCGCAAAATTCCTAAAATTGATACACTTTTGAATTTGAAATAGTACAACCAAACGGCTATACTGTTTAAATATATTCGAATATTTTAAAAGCATAGAATAGTCGCCAGTTTAAATATATTTGAATATTTTAAAAGTATAGCATAGCCGCTCGGCTGTACTCGTTAAATAGCCGTTCGGCTTTACTCTATGAATAAATTAAATATATTAATATTTAAATCGTATAGCCGCGCGGCTATACTATTTAAATACTTTCGAATATTTTAGAAGTATAGCCGCCCGGCTATACTCTTGGAATTTTAGAGAGTTTAACTACAAAAGTGACTTGTGGCCTATTAATTTTTAAGATAATGAATGAAAGTAAAGCGAGTCCAGTCACATAATTATAATCAATTAAATTCTTCTCAATATTTTAATGAACTTTCAGTCATGGAACTTGAAAACGATGAGCAAACAATTTTATCCCATGCAATCGCAGGTGTGGTGCTTCTAGTATTTTTCATCAGACAACCAGGAAAAATTGCTAGATCAGGAATACTGCCACACCCACAAAGCTGCACTTCATAATCCATTAATTTCTTGAAGCTAAATTCCTTGCTGGAACCAAAGAGAAAAAAGATACAATGCTAGAAATCTTCAACGTTTAATGATTATCTCTTCTGAGTTCCAAACTTCACACATAATTTAACCACGTATCATATTCATCAGAGCTAAACAGTCTCTGAAACATAAGTCATATAATACTGATGGAAATGCACGCCGAAAGGGGGAGAGAGCACCAGATTGAGCATATACATTCAACTGGAAGTTTCTCCCTTTGTAAGACTAGAACCAACTCGTGGAAGTGTTTCATACAATTAGCTAAGTTCAATATTCAAGTGAGCCAAGAGATGGGAGCCCGGAAACAATGTCTTGAGCTTCACCACCACCGCTGTTCAACCTTTGACCCGTATTCGGGCTAAAGGGTTCAACTGCTTGGTCCCCCATTTTGTGTACATCCTCGGGAGAAAGTATCTTGATATACCAAACATTGTTCACAAATGACCTGCATATCATATGATTTCATATATTAGTCAGACCCCCAAAAATGCCGTTTCTAATTGTTCCCTACAATAAGGACAGTTCAATGAACCACAGAAACCACCTAAAAAGAAAAGTTGAAGTGAAGACTAAAGAAAGTTTTCAATTATTCTTGGTGCTCATTTGATTAACAATGTTAATTCAACATCAACATGAAACCACTCTAATTCTTCTTTTAAAATTTTAGTAAACCAGTAATTTGACATCGAGGTTATCTGTGTGAGGCTCATAGCTCCAATGGTACAGCACTTCCATGCAATAGTTCAACCTCACCCTTCCCCTCATCCCCTCTCTCCCCACATTCGCTTCCCTAGTCCTCAAGCTCCCTTTTGACCGAGATAAACACGACAGATTTTCTAAGGCTTGGTTTAACAGTGAGATTTTATTTTTTGCATACTCGCTATATGAAATAAAGAGAGAGGAAAATGGAAATATCGAAAATTACTGTGTAATACATGCAATTTCAAAGGTGTTAGTGCTCTAAGTTAAGGTCTTTTCTTTATTGACCTATAGACAAAATTTTAACATGTCACAAAGCCTGTAATTGATTCAATATTTGTGGCAAGCATCATTGGCTAACTTTTACCCAAAAAACTTCAATCCAAAGAAAAACTGTACTATAAAAATATATACAATATAACTTAAGATTCTCTATTTCTGGCTACAGTGGGGGCCTGGAGTTTAGATATTGACTAAGCTTTAAGCTGTATTACCCTTCCTTCATCTGTTACCAATACAAAGGCAGAACATCTTCACTGAGCATAATTTTGTTGAGTTGAACAAGAGCATAGGGTAATTTTGTAAGGTTAAATGAGTCCACATCCTCCATAAACTGAATCTTCTATTTTACATATAGCCCATTTTACTTCCTTTCACATGCAGATCATGCGTATGTCTTGTAATAAGTGAACACTTGATCCAGAAAATTCCAGGACAAAAAAACGCTAAAAATGGTGTAAATAGATTAGGACCAAATCAATTTCCCCATAACATTCAACAGCCTCTTTAAATTATACCATTTACTGTTCAGGAAGACTTAAAAGCAGTCAACAGAAAGGCCTCCAGTTTTCTGATTAGTATAGCCAAAGTAATAATAAAATTAAAAAACTTTTGTTGCTTTGCCACTGTTAAAAGAATCATAAGATTTTGTCTTATGAACTTGGTGTTTTTAATGGTGTCCTTGAAACACACCTCAAGGAAAACCAACAAAGGAGAACCTTGAGGCGGCATCTGCATGCCTGTGTCTTACGAGAGGCACTGCTTGGGTACCAATCTCTTCTTAAAACTCTTAGGCCAAATGGCATTGTTTGGCCTGGGCTTTTAAAATTTTTAACAGCCCATGCCAAATGGCCTGAGTTGCTAAAATAAAGAGGAGAAACCATAAGACCAAATAGAAATTAAGAAACCATAACTAAATTCTCCAAAATCCATTCCCCCCTTTCACAGCTCCCAAACCACAACCCAGGAGCTCTAAGGTCCATCCCACTTATCATCAGACGTTCTAAGCCCCATTCTCAAGGTACCCAGTTATCTTTTTCTTTTGTTCCTTTTTTCTTTTCTTTTTTCAATTCTTCCCCTCCACAAGAAGTATGTGGGGGTAATTTTGGAAGTATTTGTGAATTATCAGACAAAAAATTGAATGTATTGAGATTAATTGTTCTGCTTCAATTATAAATAATACTTTTTAAAACCAATTTTATATGTTTCAATCAAATATGTCAATTTGAGGATCAAGAGGCTTGCGCCTTTAGTTTTGAGTAATACTTAGTATTATGCCTTCGCCTTTGAACACATCGATTAGATTGTGGGCCAAAGGTATTTTATATCCTAAGCAATTTTCCACACATGGGCATCCCACCTGGAGCCCAACATGTTAAGTTCAATATAAATTAGGACTAGGAGGTTGCACTTGCAAGAACTCAACTTAGTATCTGTCACTCTGGATCCATACTTAGTTTTGTTTGTTTACTACTACTGTTGTTCCCAAAAAGTAAGTTACTAGGACCTGATCCAATAATTATTTTATGTTCGAATGATGATGAAGACCATATTCCATTAGTCATTGTTTCTTTATAGGATATCTATTAGTGTAATGATCAAGGATTAAATTCGGATATGAGAGGAACTCCATGCATACAAGTATCTAATGGCAAACCAGCTATATGTAACTGAACCAAGAACTTACTCCCATGGGTCGTCACCAAGGAGAAGCACATCATTCTCCCTGTCAACGAATACAAGCTGCCAGCCTGATCTAAGACGGTCTTCCAACTTCCCCTCAATTCCGAACATCTGCCCCAGCTCTTCTCGCAGCTCATGGTAACTGCTGAACCGGGATATGTCCAGTGAGCGGCCAACCGAACCTGACTTGTAAACCTGCACTAACAACACAGTATCATCCGTCCAACAATTTTAAAAATCCAAGAAAATTGAAAGAACAAAAACACCTAATTACTTTCATCTCACACCTTGACAAATGTACAATTTGGGGTTGGTGGGTCAACTTGCCCTGCACTGTGCAACAACTCAGATGAGTCTTGCATACAACCATACAGAGAGCTCTGAAATCCAGAGTCTCCTAATGGCATTGACATGTCGGCATCATTTGAAGAAGTGGCAAAACTGGGCGCTGTGGTGGGGAACAGAAGTCCAGATGATTCAATATTAACACCAAAGAGAGTAGGATTCTGGGAATCTGAATTACAATTCTCTTGCTCAACTGCATTGTCTTTCTCATTAAATGGTGGAAATGACATTGAGTTGGCAAAAGCATTGACCTGTGCATGTGCATACTTTGGAGCCCAAGATTGTTGAGGTAACTGCTCAGTTTGCATAGAATGACCAGCCCTGGATGAGCTTAAAAGATTTCCACTCCCTTCAGGACAAAGTGTACCAAGCATGTTCTGTCTAGGGGTAGTAGAT